CCTTGGTTAACGGTGGGTTGTTTAAACAAAGTTATAGTAAACCTTAGTTAACAGTGGGTTGTTTGGACAAAGCTCTGTTACCTGAAACCTGTAAAATCTGATTTAATTTTGGCATAAAAAATTATGTTTATATTTGACGATGAATCAAAGCAAAGGTTTGTTTTGTTCTTCACACACATGATTCCTTTCTGTATTTCAGGTTTGAAACTTTTAGAAGCCATCAGCCAATTAAGGTAAACTTGAATATTAAACATATTTTTACAAATTTGATTCACATTATCAGGTGGTAAACAAACCATATAATCATGAGGTTCATAGATCATTGTGGACAGTCTGATTACATTAGGATCATGAACTTCTATTAAATATGACACGTTGTATGTTATAAAAATATAAAATCACGACTTATTGTTAAATATGACACGTTGTATGTTATAAAAAATTGAAATCACGACTTTTATTAAGTATGGAATGTTGTATGTTATAAAAAATTGAAATTACGACTTTTATTAAGTGTGGAATGTTGTATGTTATAAAAAATTTAAATCACGACTTTTATTAAGTGTGGAATGTTGTATGTTATAAAAAATTTAAATCACGGCTTTTATTAAGTGTGGAATGTTGTATGTTATAAAAAGAATTAGGATAACGATTTTTATTAAGAATAAAGCCCCCCAGTGGCACAGCGGTATGTCTGCGGACTTACAACGCTAGAATACGGGTTTCGATACCCGTGGTGGACAGAGCACAGATAGCCCATAGTGTAGCTTTGTGCTTAATTACAAACAAACACTTAAGAATAAAATGTTGTATGTTACAAAGAATAACTTGAATCATGATTTAGGATAATTAAATACAATAAAAGGCTACTTGTTGCAAAAGAAAAATAATCAAAATTAGGACTTTTACAAAGTTTTTAATATTTCCTCTAGAAATAGATGTGAAAACAGATCCAAAACATTCGAACAAATAGGGGTGGTGGCCAGGGAGAAACGATGTTTTGTCTTGTAATGGCTACTTATCAACAAGACATATGATGAGTGGATGAGATTTAACCGATAAATTATTGTTTGGGTGGAAAATAATTAGTTAGAATCTGTCTTTTTTTTGTGGGATTCATCCTCTTTATGTTCCTCATAAATCATGCCGAGTAATGGGGAACATTGACACAGTAATAGAAGTACTGTTTTACCGTGTTAGTTACCTACTTTCGCCCACTAAGAGTCTGTTATGATAATTCATTTGTGTCGCAACCTTTTTTTTTTCATTAGTAACATATCCAGGTGTAAGCTCGGTAAGTTGTGTTTCTTTTCTATAGGGACTAAAAGACGCCATATCTTGTTGTGACCTAGAAAAACTTGATGTAATGATTTAGGTTAAGCTATCGACTGATAGTAGGTTTGACTACAACATTAACTTTGCCTGGAGTAAACTAAAAATTAATAAATTCCACAGGAGAGAATGTTCAGAGAGTGGAGCCGAGTCAGACCTGATGGTTCAGCTGGACGTATTTGATGAACAAAGGTACACGGATGAAGGCCAGCTGACTGGACCAGATGGAGTAGACCTCAACTCACACCTGGACGTTTTTTATGCCATCTTGAGACAGGTGAAAAAAAAAACCAAAAATAAAGGAAAAAAATACTTTCAAATTCTTGTTTGAAGTGAAACATAAAACACAGTTTAGCAAACTGACCAAGACACGAAACATAAAACATAGTTACGTTTAACAAACTGACCAAGACACGAAACATAAAACATAGTTACGTTTAACAAACTGACCAAGACACGAAACATAAAACATAGTTACGTTTAA